GCTGGACATCAAACCCAAGACCTTAACGATACTAAGGAAGCATTCTCCCTATGAACTACATCCCTGGCCCTAAGTCTATTTACATATAGGTGGGAAAGAGGAGGGGTACCGGGTGCTCAGAGGGATGACGGAGCTAGCTATTGCATGGGTGTAAGTGACCATGTGCAGGGCAGGCAGCAGTGTGATGAAATGCCATGTAAAGAATAGAAACAATGGGGCTGGGGATTTAGCTCAGTGGTTATGGTGCCTGCCTTGCAAGTGCAAGGACCTGAGTTTGATCCTTGGTACCAAAAATAGAAACAGCATGGATGGCATCATTGGAGTCATGAGCTCCTAGGCAAAACAAGCATGCAAAGAACTGAAGCTAACATCGCTCTTTACTGGCAACACCGTGGTGGTGCATGATGGAACGGAAGGCAGGTCTTTTCAGCGTAGCTACCTAACAGGTAACACCGTTAGCAGGGTGATCCAGAAATGCGAGCAAATTACAGTTCTGAGTACATGTGTATACATACTTAGCACATAGCTGGCTGTGTGAGAGAGGTGGTGGCTGTGTGTATTTCTCCCATAGATGTCTGCATGAGAGACCCAAGTCTGTGAAAGGAAAGATGCTGTGCTGGGAGGCAGGGATGGGGGGTTTGCTGTCCTTGGCTGACCTCCTCTGTTGCTCTCTATATGTTTTCTTCTGGCCCATAGAGACACAGTGCCCTCCTGTGGCTCACAGCATTTTAAATAACTTTCTCCATTTCTCAGGTCCCCCGAGTGTGTGTGTGTGTGTGTGTCATTGCTGTTTGTTTTTCTGTCCAGTAGTTTTATAGGGAGGTCTTGATACCATGGCCTGTGACTGTGTCCGTCCTTAAGGTCAGAGCTCAGGGGCCAGGTGGCAGGGTGTGGGGAGGTGAACCACACACTTCCCTTTTTTCCTGGTTGAGGTTCAGGTCTCCCATTCATCTCTTCCATTCCTAAGCAATGTGAGTACTTCTCACAATTTAGGGACAGCGCGTAAGACAGCTAAAAGAATATTCAATGGGAAGAGTAAAGTGAGAATTGATTGAAGAGTTACTGTTTTAGCTTGAAAATTCTGGCTCTCATAAAGAGATTTTCAAGGGTGACTGAAGGGACGATCCTGAAGGCATCTGTTCAGCAATGGACCACGTATACGCTTGATTCCATAAGATTCTACTGGCTCATGATCGTATAGCTTCGTTTGTGTAAACGCATTCTATGATACCCACACAATGACAGAATCATTTAAAGATGCATTTTTTAGAGCCTTTTCTCCACTATGCAACATACGAGGGTACCCACAGAACAGTAAAACTATAGTGGAAGGATGTTAAACTTTGGAGAGTAATCTAATAGGAAAAATGCTGAAGTGGGAGACACCGCTTGCCTAGAGAGATTTGAGGATTACCTGGAGAATGAGAATCAGTTTTGATGAAAGGCCGGAGGTGGTGCTCAGAGCAAAGCAATTTTATTTTTACGCATTCTTTTCATTAACACTGGAATTTTTCCGAAGCTAGATAAACATACAGTAAAACACATTCTGTATCAGACATTCAGTAAATCTAGACAGTGACCGAAGACATGACTGAAATTTAAAAACTTCATCTATGACTGGTATTCGGATAAGCACACTCACAGACCGTGCCAGGGTGCTACGCCCTGTGCACACCATGTGCTTCACGTGGGCTAGTGGCATTGCACGCCCACACTCAGGTGTTCGAGGGTGTCTGGGTGACTGGCACACCCACGCATGCCAACCCACTCACGTTCTGGCAGCTGCTCTCTGTCAGAACAGAGCCTGGGGCACTTCCTGCTGGGGAGGATTTCCTGCTGTGAGGGTGCGAGGGAGGCAGAACCCTCCGAAACTGCCCTTCACGATGGGCCACGGGCACAGATGCTCTCAGGAGAGTTAGTCTGGAGCTTCGTTTTTTGTTCCCATTATCTTATGAGATGTATCTCAATCCCGTATGGTGGTTTCAGACTTCATCCCACGCTCCTGCATGTTCCCTAACCTCTGGTTTCTCTTTGACGTGATTCCCCATCTTTAAATAAGTTGTCCTCCTACAACTGTGATATCCAAACCAAAGCCTCAGCCTGAGAGCAAAGGAAAGTGGGGGGTTCCAAAGGATGACTTCCGGGAATGATTTATTGGTGGCAGAGTAGAAAGCTTGTCCCTAGGAAGGAAGGCAGTTGCAGGCCTTGTTCTGTGTTCTTCCTAAGTATATAAAAATTCAAGCACAGGAGAAGATGGATGGGGAAGGATGACACTGATTGAAGAGATGTGAAAACTGTCCCACAAAAATCTCCTGATTTTCTCAGCTCTCTTCCCTTTGTCTTTTTTTCCCATCCTACATATCTTCCCTCCTGTTCTGATTTGTTAAAAACTCTCATCATTTTAGTTACCTTGTTATGATCTATCTCTGCGGGCTGAGTGAATCAAAGCCATTCCTGCAGTCGTCACCACACTAGGCTCTCCCTTCTGTCCTGTGGTTCTTATGCCTGCTCCTACTCCAGCCTTGTTTTTACTCACACTTCTCCTTCTGTTCCCTTACAGCCTTCTCTGACTCCTTGTTGGAAATTATGTATTGTGAAAATGTTAAAAATATCGTTTCCTTTTCCTGAATTTTGCCCTGACACTATCTCGAGCCACTCTCTAGCTTTATTCCAGCTCTTGATATAACAGGATTCAAACTAGAGATGATTCTAGGCTTAGCTAGTAAGAATCTGGGGGGAAGGGAACGAAATAGACTTGGGGAGGAGGGAAAGCATTGATGGCTAAATGCAGACGCGTCTAAAGGGGAATGAATCCAAGGCTCTTGGGATTAAAGAAGGCAAAAAGTATACGGCTCATCCGTGCTTAAAATATCCCCACCTCCACCTCATTTATTTCAAGTATTGATAGCATTAGTGACCCAGAAACACACGGGGAAGAGCCTTGATAGTCTAATGTACTTCTCTGTAAGTCTCTTTTCTATGGTCTTAAAAATCTTTCGTCCTGGAAATAGCTATGTAGTCTTCATATGATCTGTTCCTTTGTGTTTTTTGAGACAGGGTCTCACTGTGTAGTTCAGACTGCCTTTGAACTCATGAACTCATGATGAAGCCCAGGATGTCTTTGCACTAATGACAATCCTTGTGCCTCACTCTCCCAAGTGCTGGGATTACAGGCATGTGCCACCACAGCTGGCAGTCATGTTCCTTTCAGTATATCCTTGGGAAAGCCCTGGCAAGATTACTTACACTGAAAGTAGTAGAGAATGTTGGGCTTGGTCGAGCACGCCTGTAACCCCAGCACTTGGGAGGCTGAGGCAGGAGGATTGCTGTGAGTTTGAGGTCAGCCTGGGCTACACATTGAGTTCAAGGCTGCCTAAGCTATACAGTGAGACCCTGTCTCAAAAACAAAAAACAAAAAAAAAACAAACCAACAAAGAAAGTAGCAGAGAACAGTTATGCCCATGAGATTGGCCTGTCTACAACACACCAACAGACTTTTCTGTCCCCTGGCTTCTTGGGTTTCCCAGTAAGAAGTGGCAGTGGATCAAAGAACAGGAGAGTGGGCTGGGGATTTAGCTCAGTGGTGCTGCCACCTGCCTTGAAAGCACAAGGACCTGAGTTCAATCCCCGGTACCAAAAACAAAACAAGAGGGCCTGGGACTTAGCTCAGTGGTGCCGCCGCCTGCCTTGCAAGCCCAAGTACCTGAGTTCAATCCCTGGTACCAAAATAAACAAACAAAAGAACAGGAGAGGGAGGTTATTTCTTGCTGTCCATGGTGGCTACAACCCTCTACTAACTAAGGCTGCTTCTTGTTGGGCTCTCTCTAGTGTCGGTTACCTCTCCTCTCTCCATTGTTTGTACTCAGCCCCCAGGGTACTGCATCATCGTTTCTTTCCTCGTCAAAATCTTGTACCCACCTTACAAGCACTCCCTTTACCACCTTGCCTCAGTTATCTCATGCACTACTGTCTGTCTTCTGCTGGGATCCTAGCAAGGAGACTGGGGGATGGGGTGGGGTTAAAGCTAAGGAAGGAGAAGAGAATCAGTACATCGAGCCCTTAGAATCACAAAGTCATGGATTTGAAGTCGAGAGCTATGTGATCAAATCATTTAACTTTTCTGAATGCCAGTTTCCTCAGACATACTAGAGAGATAATGGTTACCTATCCAGAGCTGTGAAAATGAGATACTGAACACAAAAGCAGTAGTACAGGGTCTGGCATGGAGCGGTGCTCTTGCAGGGCTGTGTTGTATTACTACACACCTGGCACTTTTCTGAGTGCATCACATGTGTCTGCATTTAATACTCAGGAAAAACACAACAAGGTGGCACTGTAGAGAAACTTTTTCCTGTGAAAGACATTTATGTATCTGTCTATTCATCTATCTAGCATCTATTATATATCTATTTTTGCTGCAAGTTGATCCCCGGATGTATAAACTAGGCTTGTAAGGAAGCTTGCATATTTAATTTGTGGGGAGAGGAGCAAGATGGAAAGGAGACAAAGACTAAGGTGAGAATGGACTCTGTGTTAAGCAACTTTGGGCTTCCATACTAAAAGCTGTAGAAGGGGGAGACTTTGAGGATGAGCGAGTTCCTGGGGTGTATCTTCTCTTTCCTCATTTTCTCCACTAAGCCTGACACAGTCTTCCATCTCAAAGGGTCAGGTGCTGGGCGACAGCCATTTTGTTCAATTCCTGGTAATCTGCTTTTATGTTTGTCCTTAGCAGTTTTTTTTTTTTCCTTAGAAGTTTTTAAGGGAAGCAACACCTCGCAGGGATTACTCAAACTAGAAGGCAAGTCCTGAGAGCCAAGTAATCACCCTAAGTATTTCCCTGAGACCCTTTCCCTTCTCCACACAAACTGCTTTCTAATTCTTTAGCCTGAGGCAGGCAGAAGGAGACAGAGGCTTAGGAACAGCAGTCGTGTCCCAGAAACCACTGGGAGCTCAGTGTGAAAAAAAGTAGGAACTTGATGGAAACAGGCCCCACTAATGATCTCTAGCCTGCTGGGCACACTGGGGGTGGCAGAAAGTAGGTCCTGGGAATGGGGTGAAGTAGCTGGTGGAGGAAAAATACGGATCCCTGGGTTGTTGTTGTTTTGTTATGTTTTTGGTACCAGGGGATCAACCTCAAGACCTTGCACTTGAGTGCCACTGAGCTAAATCCCCAGCCCTCCCTGGGTTCTGTTTTAAAACCTATTTCCCTTTAATTGCTGGGTGTGCTGATTCATATATTCAGCTTCCGTGTGGAAGGTGGGGGGTAGATGCTGGAATTTCAGTAATGCTTTCTTATCTGGGAGCAAGGCCTGGAACTGACAAAACTGATTGGGGCCCTGATTCCAGAAGACAACTCTCGTCCAGCATTCAACTTTCCCATCCCTATTTTACCACCTTCTAAACCAGGCAGCTTCGAGGCAACCGGGAGAAATGAAATACAGTATGGCTGCAGGGGAGTGGGGCAAGTGGGCACTTTATTACACACAGCAGCATAAACTGACAAGAGCAAATCTGGAGCGATGCTCATTATATTAATTCTCCAGTGAGCAGGCATTTCAACAGCATTCTTTTCTCAGTCTGAGTAGGAAACGGGATCTCATGTAGGTAAATCTTGAGTCCAGTCCATGGAGCCTAATGAATGTCATTATCTTAGTACAAAAATGTCCGAGGGCCAAAGCCACTTGGGAGGTGTCTCGTGGGTAGGGAGAGTTCCTCCTAAGTAGACCACCCATCAGAAAAGTCAGGAATCTCTCAGGCCCATATGGCAATAAAGGCCATGAAGGTAAAACCAGCAGCCACACAGCCCCACTTGGCCAGAGGGGCCTCACAGCTACTTAGCTCCCGGGGCAAAATTTCTAGAAATGTCACATACAGGAAAGTGCCAGCTGCAAGACCTTCTAATATGGCCTGAGCTAAGGCCTTCCACCCTTCAGGGTCCCCTGCAGCTATGGTCACCCCTAGGGCTAGGCCCAAGGGGGACATGAAGGCTAAGGACAGTATGGAGGATATGGCCCACCGAGATTCAGTGCCTATCTTTATCAGCCGCAACGCTACACCAAACACTACGAGCCCCTTATGAGCCAGGACAGCAAGACAGAGCTGTATGGTGGCTGCTATCGTTGGCTGAAGCCCCACAGCCAGCCCTTCAAACAATGAGTGAAAGGAGAGTGAAAGCAAGAGGACAAAGTCTCGAAAGGGACTCTGTTTAGGTGGGCGTAGAGATTCATGGCTGTGGAAATCAAAGACAGGATTCCCACCGCATTCCTCCTCCTGCACTGTTGAATGTCCAGAAGCCCCAGGACAGCACTGCAATGCCAGTGACTCCAAAAGAAAGACAAGGAAAAAGCCCAGGGAGATGATGAGTTCTCCGTAGGGATACTCCACCTAGGAACAGAAAGAGGGGCTGTGAGATGGGAGAGGGAAGACAGTACATCGGAGGGACTATGGGATTGGGAGACTGAAGAGACGGGGAGAAATGTAGAACATAAAAAGGGGATGGGGTGTGAAACCAGGAGAAGACACGCAACAGTGAGGATGCTAGAGTGCCAAGGGACACAGTGTCGACAGGGTTAGGGATATGGTGAAGCAATGGGAAGGTTGGCAGAGGGCCCAGGGAAAGGAGGTACTGGTAAAGCAAGAGTCTTTCCTGGGGTCCGTAACATGGAAAGACCAGGTTTGGTGCTTCCCTTCCTCTACATTGGACTGGGAGCAGAAGGAACTTGGTGTTTCTCACATACTCCCTTCGAAAGGGTCTGGATATGAAAGAATCTGGTTCTCCTCCCCTTCTAGATGAAGGCTGGTGGGAAATACTTACAAAGGCCGAGCCAGCATCATTAGAAGAGTCTCCCTTGCTTCTTGTTCTGTTCTAGGGAGAAAGACAGCAGTATTAGTGGGGAGATGGAGTAGCTCAACTTCCTGTCCTGTCCTTTCAGCAATACTGCTTTCCTTAAAGCCCAATCTGACCTCCTTGCACCATTCCAAGCAACACAAGAGCTGTTATCTTCCCTGTTGTCTCATCCACACCCTGACTCTACCACTTTTCCCACTTTGTTCACTGGGTTCTGTTTATCATCCATGCCTCACAACCCTGCAGCTTAGCACCCTCTGCTCACCTGCCCCATGAACTTCTGGAACTCAGATTCAATTCCTTCCAGGGCTTCAGGAGTTATATGCATGAAACCCGCTCCCAAGAAAACACCAGCAGAAGCACAGCCCAGCAGGCTGAGGACTCGGCGGTGGCGACCTAATAAAAAAGTAGAAGTTATAATCCAGTTGGTATCGAGGAGATAAAGATGACTGAAGAGCCTGAGGCAGCACTCGGTATTCTGAGCTCCAGGATGGTCAGAGAATCAGGATAGAACAAGGAATCAGGATTGAGTCGAGGTGACTCAGGTCAAGGGACCAAGGTGAGGTAGGGCTATACCTGTAGCTGTGTCAATCTTGAACCATTTGGAGCAGATGGGACTAAGGCCACAGACAAGGGTGACAGCTAGCAGGGCACACAGGCAGCCAAGTTTTACTCCTATTAGTGACTCCATCTCTGGGATGCGGGATAAGCAGAGGTCTCAGAGTGACAAATGGAAGTGAAGCGTTGTCTTTGGTGATCAGAGCTGCAATGTCCCCACTTCCGTTTCAGGAGGCTGTTGCTATCCTCCTGCTCTGGGCTGCCTCTGGTTGAGCAGCATTGCAGAGCTGACTAGGGCCCTGCCCGACACCCTCCTCCTCCTACTTGGAGGCCCCGCCTCTAGCTCTTGCCTCTTGAGCTTTGAAACCAGAAACTCCAGACATCCTGCCAGGTACAGCTCAGTGCCTAATGACTTGACTAACCCAAGAGCTCTGGGTAGCCTAGTTCATGCCTAGAGTGAACATTTTGGGTAAAATGGGAGTCCATGGTCACTACTGCCCAGCTACTTTGTACTGGGGACAATCTGGCCTTGCCTCACCGAGGACACTTGATCTAAGCCTGTCACATCCTCTCCACCCCATCCCAAGTCTTCTAGGTGGTGATGTTACCCGAACCAAACCCTTTCAGAGGGGATTTGCCACCTGGGCTAGAGAGGTGGGGCTAAGAGGTGGTGCTGGTGCCTCTCTGTGGAAATTAGTAGGTGAAGGGACTCCCCTTTCCTGTAACTCCAGAAAAATAGCTCCAGGCATGGAAAAGTCCAGTGTGAAGTAGAAATTCCTAGTGTTGCAACACTGAAACTGTCACTTCTGACTGTGCCTGTTTCTGTAACTGAGCCCCTATAATAACAGGTTACTCTTTCTCTTCTGAGGCCTGAATCATTCTGCCTCCTGAAAGTTAAAAAACAAAAGAGATAAAAAGCAAAACAGGTAGAACACATTTCAAGGTCAAGGAGAAAAGTGAAAAGAACCCAAGAAATAGAAGGATCCTGCCTGATATATGGGGTAGAGATGGACAATTTTGTCCCGATGTAACCAGCACTGCAAAATAAAACTTTAAAAGTTATTATTTTTGATAATTTTACATAACAACACTCCCTCCTTTCTTCAGCTCAAAAAAGTGACAGAACATGCAGGTGCCAGCCCCAGGAGGCCAGAAGCCTGGCTGGTTTTCCGCAAGAAAGGAGGCTGAGCTTTAGATAGCTGAAGTGAGAAAGCAAGTGTGGAGTTCTCATTATCTCCTTGTGTCCCCCTCTGCTCTGTTCCTTACACAAAAGACCCTTGCCCACCTATGAATGGTGAGGTGGTGATTTGAGATGAATAGGCCCTTCCATCTCCTCAGAGCTAGCTTTGCATAAATTCTTTTTCCTTTTTACTCAAATACATGGCCTCCTTTCATTTGGTCAGCAGTGAGCAGATGAACCTACAAATATGAACTTAAATTTAGGGCCGGTAACAGCTTTAGTGGGCTCTGCAGGACTAAAGTGATTTCTTTGTTCATGCTACAGGCCTTGAACGATACAGCCAGGAAAAAAACAATATAAACTTCTGACAAGTTATTCTAAATTTTAGCACAATGAAAAATGTCTTAAAACCTGGAGCAAGAGCTTTTAAATCGACTAAGACTTATTCAGTTAAGGCAGGAAAAAAAAAAAGCTTCAGAAAATTCAAATTCAGATTAATTGCAAAACCAATCTCTTAAAAAATAAATTTAAAAAAATGGATTAGAATTTAAAAAAAAAAACAATCTCTTTTGAGATGGATATTTCTTATCTGGCTACAACCTGGAATCCTACCTTTAGATAAACAGATTTAAAATTAAGTGTTGCTTAGGACTGTAGAAAAGCAAACCATGCCAATAATATAACTTTAAAAGCCAATAAATGATAACTTCAAGTCTTTATGTGGGGTGGCATGAATATGTGTATTATATGTCATGTCCTACGCATATACTTGGTTTGTATACTGTTCAGATGGTATCAGATTAATTTAAAAAGCGCTTGGTTACTAAAAAGCATAAATCCAAATGCTTTTCTGTTTACATGACTGAAGAAAAATGTTTAAAAAAAAACAAAGTCAGGCCGGGGATTTAGCTCAGCAGTTCGGTGGCCCGCCTTGCAAGTGCAAGGACCGGAGTTCAATCCCCAGTACCAAAAAAAAAAAAAAAAAAACAAAAAACAAAACCAAAGTTGTCCTCAACTGTTAACATGCATTTTACCTGTTTGCCAATCAGAATTATATTTTAGGTATTTGCTTAAAAAACAGTTTCACAAAAGTTGTTTAAAAAAGATTAAAGAGTATAAAGGGAATATAAAATTTTTGAGTTTTTCAGAAGACTTAAAGGTCCTTGGAAATCAGTCAGTTGAACATTGTATATGTGCTGCCGAAGCGAGCACTAGTCAGTTGAACATTGTAATAATAAAAATATAGCAGTGGCTTGGGTTTTTTTCCCCCAACATGTTTATTTCCTATTTGAAAACCTTTTCTTGGGCATTATTAATTTTACTTTATTTATTTATTTTTGAGACAGTCTCACTGTGTAGTTCAGACTGGCCTTGAACTATGTAGCCTAGGCTGGTCTCAAACTCCCAGCAATCCTTCTGCCCAAGCATCCCAACCCCCACTGCTGGGGCCCGAGAGGATGGACGGCCGAAGTGCTGACCCCTAGTCCCGGAAGGCTGGTTCTCCCCGGGCACAGGTGTCCTGAAGGCGACGTGCTGAAGCCAAGTCCCTGGACTGCAGAACCACTCCCTAATTCCTTCTTTGTTCTTATTCTCAATTTACACTCCCTTTTATTCATAAACAGATATTATCTAGATGTTCTGTCTTTAAACAGGGTGTATGTGTTCTAGATAGCTTCTTGTGATTGCCCTTTATCTTACTCATGCCTCCTTGAGACTATTTTTTTTATCATCAAACCACTGTGACCATGATTTTGTGTGTCACCTTGAAATTACTATAAAGACCCTAAGTAAAAAGTAAACTTCGCCATTAGCCATCAACTTTTGGTCATTCATTGTGTCCGTGGTTGTCTCCCCGAGTCCCCTCCTCTAGAAGGAGACCTCAACAGGCCACCATGCCCCACTTGCCATTCTTTTATTTAAAAGTTTACATTGTTTAGGTTCTTAGCTGGGTGCTCTTGGGAGGCTGAGGCAGGAGGATCACTGTGAGTTGAAGGCCAGCCTGGACTACATAGTGAGTTCAAGACTAGCCTGAACTGCATAATGGGACCCTGTCTCAAAAAAAGAAAAAAAAATTGTAGCTTCTCAGAAAATGTTATTTAACAATAGTATAAGGTTGCATCTAGTTTTTTTTTTTTTTTTTTTTGGTGGTACTGGAGATTGAACTCAGGCCCTTGTGTTTGCAAGGCAGGGAGCAGAACCAATGAGTCCAATCCCTGGCCCTCATCTAGTATTAGTGGAAGGTATCCTAAGAAACAATACTTTGCTAGACATTAGTTAAAAGTTGGGGTTTACAGCAAAAATGGCTTCTAAATCCCAGATTTAAAAAAAAAAAAGCACATTAGCCAGGTGTGGCAGTCAGTGCCTATAATCCTAGCACTCAGGGAGGCTGAGGTAGGATCTTCTCGAGTTTGAGGTCAGCCTGAGATGCGTAGTGAATTCAAGACCAGCCTGAACTACACAGCAAGACCCAGTCTAAAAAAAACAAAAAATGCAAATCATGTTTGTGGTGAGTAGTAAAGGCTCATGTCTGCCTAGTTCTTCTCATCCCTATGGTGATCTCTATATCATGGCTGTATCCATTTCAGGATTAGTTTATTCCAAAATGTCCTCGAGGCTGTTTTGTTTTTTTTTTTTTTTGGTTTTTTGCTACAAGGTCTCACTCCACAGTCAGGCTGGCCTCAAACTTGCAGTGATCCTCTTGCCTCAGCCTCTTGAGTGCTGAATTACAGGCATGTGCTACCATGCTCAGCCTGACTTTGCTTTGGTGACATAAAAATTTTGTTAAAATTCATTGAGAAGCCGGGCGTGGTGGCGCACGACTGTAATCCCAGCACTCGGGAGGCTTAGGCAGGAGGATCGCTGTGAGTTCAAGACCAGCCTGGGCTACATAGTGAGTTCCAGGTTAGTCTCAACTGCATAGTGAGACCCTGTCTCAAAAAACCAAACAAAACTAAAAAGTTCATTGAGATCAATATAAATATTCAAGTTTAAAACCCTTCAAAGTTCTTTACATTGTTATAATAAATATAGATACAATTTTGACATATTGACAAGATTTTTTTCCTCAGCAAAAAAAAGGTTTTGGGCTGGGCTCAGTGGTGCCATGCCTGACTGGCAAGCGTAAGGTCCTGTTTGATTCCCAGTACCAAAAAAAAAAAAAAGTCTGAGGGCTGATGATATAGCTCAGTAGTACAGTGCTTGCTTGGCATGTGCGAGGGCCCTGTACCACGAAACAAAACAAATAGTCTAAAAGCAATTGAGGGTTTTATCTGTTCATGTAAAAATACTCACCGGGGATGGTGGTGCACGTCTGTAATCCTGGGCCAGGCTGTTTTTGCCTCGTTTTATGTTTATAATCTCTGTAATTATTGTTTGTCAAAGCTGTAATGTTTTAGGGTGCCGACTACAAAAGAGACAAGATTAGATTTGACAATAAACTCTAAAAAAACAGCCTGAGAGTCAGTAGTTATAAATCTCTTACTGCTCATATTTGGCAAAAAGGGTTTTTATGACACTGACTTCATCTGTCACAGCCCTCCACTGCGGGACATGCCTGACTGACCATCACTGCGAAAAGCTACAGGCACACTGTGGGATAAGGCTGCAGATGGTTAAGTGACAACACCTTCAAAAAACAAAACAAAAATGCATTCAGAGACAAGGGGCAAAGTCCCAAGTATGAAGGAGTCACTTGTGTGTCAACCACACCAAAATAAGCAGAGCTGCAAAAATTATAAAAGGATTTTTACGCATGACTAAAAGAAATTAAAAAAAAAACACCCCACCCTTTTAACAGGTATAACAGGTATTTTTGACTTGGACTTTTTTTTTTTTAAAGGAAGACAGGTTTATTTTGGCTCACAATTTCAGTGGGTCCGGTACATGGGATGGCTCCAAGGCAGAAAACACACACAGTGAAAGGGCGTGACAATATGGCAACCTGGAAGCGGAGAGATGATTTCTTTTACATTTGACTTCACAATTTTCAGTGATGCCTTCACAGGCTCAGGCATCTGGTTTTTCCCTTGCTCGTGCTCCAGCTACTTGGGATACAGTGTGCACACCAAATCCAACATGGAATAGCCAGCATCTCAAGGCCCTCAAGATGGAGGGCTAAAATAGAGGAGGAATTGTAATCTGCACTGCAAAAGAAAACTTATAACATTTTCACCTAACAACACCCTCTCCTCTTTTCAGGCCCAAGTGATAGAATATGCAGATGCCAGTCCCAGGAGGCCGGAGCTACAGAAAATAGGATGAGCTGAAAGCAAGAAAGCAAATGTAAAGATCTGCATTACTTTGTGTCTCCTCCCCTCTGCTCCTTGCTATAAGACCCTTGCCCACCTGCCAATGGTGAGGTGGTGATTTGAGGTGAACAGGACCCTCCATCTCCTCAGAGCTAGCTTTGCATAGATCCTTTTTCCTCTTTACCCAAATATATGGCCTCCAGTGATTTGTCAGTAGTGAGAAGAGGAACCTAAAAATAGGAGTATAACTGAGTTAGGCTGGGGCTACATAGCGTGTTCAAGGCCAGCCTGAATATAGCAAGACCCTTTCTCAAAACAAAACAAAACAAAGATGGAAACGACAGATAAAAAAGAATAGGTTAAGTAGCCACCGTATCCCTTATTCAGGAGGCCTGCAGAATAATTCTGAGACTTGCTGAGCCAGTTCTCAAAGAGCTTTACCCACAATTCCAGATTATCTCCCAGTAAGTCATAGTCTCTGGTGTAAGTAGCAGTACAGGAGAGGGTGAGCCCGAGATTTGAAGCCGGGTACTGAAAATCTCAGGATGTTCATTATAGGCTAGGTTGGGGAAACAAAATTCATTTCCATTCTTTAAAAATTTATTATTATTAAAACTTCAAACAAATACAGACATACAGGGGTATCAGCACTTCTTTCCTGGATACCAGGTAGCTCTAGCCTCAGCAGGTCTGAGAGAACCTTGTCAACTCTGAGGTGGATCCTGCGCAGAGGATGGAGGGTGCTCAGATGGTGTGGTCACAGGTAAAAGGTCTCCCCAGGAGCTGGCACGCGCACAACGGTACAAATCCCTGTGAAACAGAAACACAAGGTCAGTCTGGGCTGCAGGCTCTTTCCACATCCCACTGATTCTGGCCACACCTCCTATACCTGCCGTGCCGGTGCGCTGTGATGACAGCGTGCTGCATGTGCCCATCTGGACAGCACAGGTGACAGTGCACATGGCGGGGCCGCCTGAGGACTGGCTGAGTGATTCGGGGCCAGCGATTAGCATCCTCTGGAAATCCTCGGGCAAGAATCACCATAGAGAACTTTTCCTCTTTTGGTTTCTTATTCTAAGTGAAGAAGACAGAGACTGTTTAGAGGAAAAAGATTATAGGACAAGCCTTTTGGTTCCATCATTCTTGCAGCCCCCCTGCCCCTTTTTTTTGCAGTACTGGGGGATTGAAACCAGGGTGCTCTGCTACTGGGGTACAGCCCCCACCATTTTTTTTATTTTTTGGGATAGGCTAAATTCCTCATTCTAGGGTCAAACTTGCAATCCTTCTGCCTCAGCCTCCCTGAGTGCTGGGATTACAGGTGTGTACCCTCTGCCTGGCTCTGCAGTCTTTTCATGTTCTATAAACCATTCAGGCTCTAAAATCTCCAGACTATTCTATAAATTCTCTGACTCCTCCCATCTTTGACTCTTTTTCTCCCTGCTTTCCCAGGTTATTTTCTCCCTGTTACAATATAACCAGGATACATACCCAGTTGAAGGGGATGGGATGGTAACCCTGGGAGAAGCTACAGGCCAGGGGCTGAAAGGCCATCAACTGAGGACAAGGGAGTTCATGGGGACACTGTGAACACACATAAAGACACAAAAGAGCCATCAATCATAAAAAGATAGAATCCAGAGGGGCCAGGGAGAAGGGAGCGGGGGGGGGGCAGATGGCAGAGAGAGAAACGGGAGTCCCTAGCTAAAGTGGGGAGGGCACGGAGTGGTGGAGAGTGGCCGAGCTTCATGTGCTCCCTCTGCCTGGCCACACGCATGCTCTGGCCCACGTGCTGGGACAGGCTGAAGTCATACTCACCGGCGCAAAGACAAATGCAGGGCGAGGATCCAAAGGTGACTTCTCTTTCCCCTAAAGTCAGAGAAATAAAGCTGGGTCTGCAGGGTCTATTTTCATAATTCAATCAGCTTGGGAGACTATGGACTCTTTTAACATTCGATTCTAATAATGATGAATTATGTCCTTCAAGGTAAGCTGGCTATGTCTCTAATGCTCTAAACAAAGAACTTTCTCTTTGTAGCAGGAGAAAGGCAGGAATTTGGCTCATAGCATGAGACGCTCCCTTGCCAGCAACCTCTACTTTCAAAAAAATTCACTCAGGACAACTAAATTTATGATTACACACTGGCTCATATTCTCTTACAGAGACAAGGTTCTTGGCTCATCAATATCCCACATCAGGGGCTGGAAAACTTTTTTGTAGTGGGGATTAAACCCAGGACCTTTACATGCTACTCAAGTACACTACCACTGAGCTACATTCTAGCCTTTTCCATTTGGAGACAGGTCCTCGCTAAGTTGCCCAGGCTGGCCTTCAACTTGCAATCTCCCAGACTTAGCCTCCCAAATAGCTGAAATCATAGGCATACACTACCATGCCTTGCTGCAAATTTTTAAAAGGGTGAGGGAGAAGGTGAAAGCTGTCTCTGTCCCAACGGCTCAACTCTGCAGTTAGGAGTGCAAAGCAGTCACAGACAAAGAGACGTGATCATGCAGGCCTCACATATTAACAGGAGTGAGCTGACTTGAAGCACAGGCTCTTACTTGACAACCACTGCCCTCAATGATGACTGTGTACACCTAGTTTCCTTCCTAACATATGACAGCCTCCTCAGTTTTCAAGGGAGCGAGAGTAATTGGTGACACACAGGTGGGGGCTGAAAGGGGGACAAGGAACCTTACTTTGAGGACCAGGTCCCTGGCATCCATGAGAAGACGGTGTCCAGCTTTTGTTCCATTCTCTACCAGTACCTGTTCATGCAAGGGGAGAATAAGCAGATGCTGTGAATGTCAGCAGCTCTTTAACAGCATGTGCAGGAGGGGTCAGGGTCAGAAATGGGCATTCTGTATTAGACAGGGAAGGAGATCCTCAAGGAAGGAAGTAGAGACTGGAAAAGAAAGATGCTCGAGAGGAAAGGGAAGAAGAGGAGAGGCCTGAAGTCCATGAAGCTGCTTCAAGCCTTGAGGGAAGTTTCCAACTCACCAGAAAATGTCCTGTCTTACGCCACAGAGTGTGAAGCACCGCAGTGCGGTCTGTCATGCTGGGCAGTTCACTCAGGGCAAAGGCTGCCACTACCACATCGAACTGGACCTGAGGAGACAGGGACGGAGAGAGAACTGACACCTCACCGCCCCCAGGGTACAACAGAGCTCTGGCCCCTCCATTTCTTTTACTGCTTTCCTTTATCTTCTAACACTCAATGCTAGACTGTCAAACTTAGGCCACTGCTTTCCCTCTGCTGCATTCCACATTTAGAACACCCTAAGTACTGCTACTTGCCTTGGGTGACACAGGTAGAAACTGTCTGAAGAAGACACCTGGAACATAAGACTTCCCTGATTCTGAACCACCTATGGAAGAAAGAAGAGATGTGCCAACTAAAAGTATATCTGAAGTAATCTGGTGTGGCACACATCTGTAATTCTAGCACGCAGGAGGCTGAGGCAGGAAGATCACCGCAAGTTAAAGGCTAGCCTGGACTACATAAGTGAGTTCAAAGGCAGCCTGAACTACATAGCAAGACTCTGTCTCAAAAAACAAAAAAACAAACAAAAAAAGAGTATATATGAAGTTTATGGTCACAAGTACCAACTAAAGTGATATCTAGACCAGAAACAGCCTTGAGGATAAAGAAAAACATGCTAACTGAGACTGAGACACAATCTGGTAAGTAAATAGGGAAACATATAGGGAGCATCAGCTCCCTCGTCCTGTTAACAGTCGTAGCCCACAAACCCTCTGGTACCCTCTGCTAGATCACAGTACTGCAAAACCAGATTCATCTTAACTGTCAGCCTTCGTTTCTACTTCCCAATAAAGTGATCTTTCTAGCACCCTTTGGCTTCTTAAGTCACACTTTGGAAAAGCCGTACCTTAGAACTTGTTCTTACCTTTCAGTAGTTTTTCTGCCAAATTCAACATGGCAGCTGAGCTGTCCACACACACATATTCACGGAGGCTCTGGCCCCAGGTAGCGTGAGCAGCCCTGGTAGCAAAACAAAACAATCAATTCTTATTTATTTTTTGGATTTATTTATTTATTTTTGAGACAGGTACTTGCTGTGTAGTTCAGGCTGGCTTTGAATTCGTGACAATCCTCCTGCCTCAGCCTCCTGAATGCTGGGATTATGGGAGTGTACCACTATGCCCAGCCCTAAAAAAGCTACCCATTCTTATGACAAAAAGTCACCCCTATGAGATAGCCATCTACTCTCAACCCTACCCCATGGGGAAACAAATGTTATGTTAAAATACCTAGAAAAACTAATGACCTTATTTTCTTATTTCACTCACAGCTCCTGAAAAAAAAAGGCAGACTCAGAAATCCATTATAGGCAAAATAATTTTTGACTGATATGTAAAACCTATTTTCTATAAGGGAAAAGAAAAAAATATGAGAAAGTGGAAATAAAATGTCTGTAAATGGGGAGGAAAAGAGGGGGTGAAGGGAGGGCAGGGACAAGGGGAAAAAATGAGAACCAAGACCTGTCATGTAAAGGTACAAGGTCCCAATGATGAATGTAACTGTTCTGTATACCTAAAGTGTACCAATAAACTCAATGAGAGAAAAAAAACCAACCTATTCTCTACACTAAATTCCTTTCCTTTTTAGCCTTTCTAAACATGGCCTCTTTTTGCACTTGACATTTCTGTAAGCTCTGGCCCCAAGCCATACGACACCTTCTTTTTTGCCTAATCTGAGGGAAGAAACACTGTAGTTCCAAATTTTCCTATTCTCTTTCCATTTCTCAGGCATGATACCGAAGTGATGTAAATATAGCTTTCGAGATAGACTGATAAAGACAGCTGAAGAAAGTTACTCACCAGGTGACAGAACCAGTACCAGAACCAAAGTCCATCATGGTTTGTGGCTGGAACTGTGGAATTCGAGTCTGGATCTGAAGAAATATACAAAACAGAAGGGTGCAGAGAGAATTACTTAGGGCCTTTGCAAATATGAATTAGGGGACTATGACAGAAAAGATGAGATGTGAATGTATTTTGAGATTAAATATAAATACTTTCTAGAATAGAAAGCCTACGAAATAGTGGTTTTTAAAAAATAAGACAATTTATTTGAAGGTGGGGATAAGGGGCTAGAGAGAAAGATGGGAGAGAAACAGCTACTCTGGACCAGTAGAAAGTATTCAAAGGGGAATTTTTGTTGTTGTTGTTTTTTAAGACAAGGTCTCATTAGGTAGTTCAGGCTGGCCTTGAACTCACTATGTAGCCCAGGTTGGCTTTGAACTCCAAGTGATCCTCCTGCTTCAGGCTCCTAAGTGCTGGGATCAGAGGCCTATCACTACACCTGGTATGAAATACTGATTGTAAATCTTCTTTGAGTAACAGAAAACCTTCAGCAGATGATAGAGACTTTCTTTTAAAATATGCACATATGAAGTCCCAAGAATCCCTGCTCTGGAAGACTACTTTAGGAAAAAAGGAGCTGAGGAAAAAGGGTTCAGGTTGGAAGCTGAGGGATTTTACCTCATGGAATGCCCTGGACACTGCTGCAAAGCCACCGTCCAGTCTTGCTGCCATGTACACCAGGCTGAGTTCCTCATTGTACCTGCAAGGAAAATCAGTCATCCCCACTGGGAAATAACCCGAGTTCCATAGTTACTTTATAGATTTTTTAGGAGATGAGATCTTTGGAGAGCTCTTCCATCCTTTCCCCTCCCCAGTATAGAAGGGTCCAGGTAGCTTTCTCAAACACTAAAATGATTGTGTAATTACACACTCTTGATTCTGCTTTTCAAGTCCAACTTTTTTTTGCACCTTTTCTAGCCCTCCTCACCTCAGTTCCTGCCAATGGTAGGTAGTTCTGCGCAGGGCATGTAGCACTGCTCCCCGGAGTTTCTCCTCTGTCTGAGGTGAGTCTGGGGTGAGAACAAGGACTACAGGTGAGGACCTGGAGGGAACAGGGATCATATCCAATATTAAATACACTGCCCAACCCAATCCTCCCTCATTCCCACCTGAGCAGCCTCAAAGCTCAAGAGAGAAGGCAAACCTAGAGAAAAAGTTCAGGGAAGAACAAGAGGAATCATCATCATCACTGGAGTGAGTATATCACATAAGTCCTGCCTCTAAGAGCAGTTTATTCAGCTTAATGAGCCCTGCTCCACAAGTTTTGTTTTATATGAAAGAGAAGTGTGAGAAAAATTTAAAGGATATGATAAGGAGAAAACTTTGTGGATTTCTTCAAATCCCCAAAATTTAGGATCATGAAATCTCCATCATTCCTATGGGGAAGAAAAGGGGATGAAAATCCATGACTGTGGTCAGTTCTGTATTATTTAGAAACTATCTGTTGAATACCTACTCTGAGCCAAATACCATGAGGAGTGCAGAGAATACAAGATGGAAAAAGGCTGCTCTGTAATACAAAGAAGCTCATTATTATAAAAACTGTTTCTTTCACGTCTGAAGAGGGTTTTGGTAGCAGACAGGGAGCCATATAAGGACTTTATTTCACCTGAATAAAAACGCAGAACATCCTAATCCTTTGGACTTGCAGGGGTGGGGAAACCCAGAGTAGATTTATGAGCTTTATCCAAAACCTGAGAGCAACCTGTGGACCAATCTACTTTCTAGTAAGACATTGTAATAACTGCTCTTGCCAAAAAGTCAAATAAGAAACTGCAGCATCAATTTTAGATTGTGAAATTATTCTTTACTTTTCATTTCTCACTGAAATTCCAATCTGGAAATATTCTTAACTATTCTTAAATCCTACCTGGGGTTTCTAGGAACTTTTTCTCAAGATGCATAGCCCGTCTTTGCAACTCCTCTGGTTCTATAGGCAAATGTCGGCTCCAAAGATAATTGGTCAGCGTTTGCACCTTCTCCTCTACACCAGACACTGAGCTGTCTGTGGGCCAAAGATGAAAAGCGGAATCACTTTCATGCGGGCCTCACCTCGCTTCTTTTCAGTTTTCAGGCCTCCTACCGGCGGGTACTCACCAAGCAGTAGTATCTGCGCGGCGTTAGCTAGTGCCGGTGGCAGCAGCAAGTGCGGGAGCCGCAGGACGCCAGGGTGCCGACGATGGGGCTTCTTCCCCAGGAAGTCGGACTTGTTATCTACTTGGGTCACGCCGGGGACGAGGGCGGCGAGGGCCTGTAGGCCGGGAAAGAAAAGCTGACTGTCGGGCAGAAATGAAGGATGCAGGCGCTTCTAAGAGGAGAAGCTGCTGAGGGCGCTCCTCTTTGGAGCAGAGGTATCTCACTCTGTCACTCCTAGAGCAGAGGAAACAGATACTTACCCGGGACTGGGGAACTACTCCAAGGCACCGGCGCCATCTGCTTAAAGTCAGTCTACTTGCCGTCGCCATGGCTCCGGAGGCAAACCGGAAGCGGAAGCGTACCGAATCACTTCCGCGTGTCCGAGACAGTATCAGCCAATGAGAAGAGCGAGTGCTTGAAAGGAGTCAATAAACAAGTGTTATGTAAATCCCCTGAGGCTGAACCTGGAGGTGGGTGGGACTTGGTCGCTGTTGGGGCGAAATTGGTGTGAGGCCCAGCAGAATTCTTATCCTAGCCAGAAATCTCGTGAGTGGGCCAGGGACTGCTCTAGACTGGCGGAGGCTCTGGATGTATTAACTGTTTTTCTTGCATTTCCGCTGCCATGTACAGCTGTTGGGAGTGTGGTGCTAATTTGTGAGTCATTTTGGAACTGTGCATTGGGACATAAAGGAAGAAAGATAGATGCTTGGTGCCAACGACACATTATAAACATTTGTCATACTATCTGGGAAGACCTTGACAAATCAGTGATTCCTTTTATATGAATGCTATGCTATCCAAAGCCTTCTAGTATTTGAAGCAGTGTCTGTCTCTTATATTGACAGAGATACAATACACACACTGTCATGTACCTGGGTGCTTTCATTTTTGTGGGGACGTAGGGTAAGATATATGGAGAAGTGTTTCACTTGGACCAGAGTCAGGTTATTCATAGAGGAAGAAGTTTAGGATTATGGTTTCCACTGGATCAATGTTCTTACGTGAACTTACTATTTTGTAGGATTGTGATAGTTACATATGTAGGGTGAAGTCCAGGGAGGAACTCAGTTAGCTGGGTCTAAGGTAGTTCTGGCTATATCCTCAGTACTTAGACAATGTTTGGCACATACTCATAATAGATTTCAAATATCTGATGAAGTATCTTGAGTGAGTGGGATGAATGCCAGGAAGAGATGTTTTGCTGGCTCTCTGGATGCCATATGGTTGGTGAATTTTAAAAGAAGAAGAGTTTCTTTGGAGTCCTAAAAAAGGGGAGAAAGCTTTCAGGGCAGAGAGGTTGGCAGTATTTGGCCATGGACAGGTTGTTTTAGAAGTGTTCTCTGAACAAAATACAGATAAACTCTGAGCTGGTTTTGTGTGTGTGAGACCTGACTGAGCTAAAGTGACTTCATGCTGACCTGCTAATGACCCCAGAGACTGTTATTTTCCCCTCCCCTTATCAAACATCAGGGAAAACTGCTCAAAGTGCAAAAACCTTCTTATGCTAATTGCAAGCTTGATTAACTAGCCTGCCCAGGAACAGATGGTACGTTGAAGGTGACCATAAAATACTACCCCTATAAGATAAGTGTAAGATGAGTAAATGTGTCTGAAGTTTCTCCCTCTTGCAGCTGTGAGAAAACCCTGACCTATGTTTGAACTTCTTTGTTTGAAAAAAAAAAAAAACAACAAAAAACTATAAAACCTATGCACAATCCTGTAATGGGGCTTCACTTGTCTTAGAGAGTGGAGTCCACATGAGTGTAATAAACTTCCTTCAGTTTTATCTGTGTCCTGTTACTTGGTGTTCCCTCGCTGGCTTGGTGTACAACAGTAAGAATGTAAGGAGGATGCTTCTACTTGAGCCATGAAGGCTGAGCCCAGAGGTTAGATAGAAAGAATTCTTGTTTCCTCAGAGATCAAGGCATAAATAGACCTGGCCCCAAAATGGCACTGGCAGTGCTTATGAACTTTGAAGTAGAACCCAAGCAGGATTCAAAACCTGAATCACTATGAATTTGTGCCAGGTGGTATTGTGTGGCATGAGAGAATATCTATAAATTTTCCCTGATTATAACTAGTATTTATTGTGAGAAGTCATTGTCACCTAGGTAAAGCAATGTGTTCTTTACATAATCATCCACCAGAAGAAACAGTGAAGTATAGGGATAGAAAAGAATTTAAGGGCACACACATTTTTTTATTTGTATATGTTTGTGATACATAGTAAATTCATCTTGGGGGAATGGTAAGTAGTAAATATACATATTACATCTTGACCCTTTTTATTTCTTCCTCTCCCCTCCCTATATCCCCAGATCCCCTTCCCATTCTATCAAAGAACCTACTCTTTGATCATTGACCTTTGTATTGTCTCAATTTCATTCATTTCTGTTCTTTATAATTTCTTACCATTAGTCTCAGATTTGGATTGTTTTTGTCATTCTAGAACCTTGAGATGCATCATTAAATTTTTTATTTGGTATTGCTCTATGTGTGCATTTTTTAATGTGCACATTTACAGCAATAAACTTTCTCATAGAAATGCTTTCATTTTGTCCCATAGGTTTTGGTATGTGCTGTGCTTCCATTGACCTTTGATTCTGGGAACTTTTAAATTTCTTTCCTAATTTCTTGATCCACTGATTAGTCAATAATGTATTTAATCTCCATATGTTTATGTAGTTTTTTTGTTTTTTTACTACGATTTCTAGCTCCATTCCACTATGATCCAGTAACATGCAGGGGATTATTTATTTTATATTGATTTAAGCATACTTTGTGGTCTAAGATATGGTCTATTTTGGAAAAAAGTTCCATGAGCTGTTGAGAATAATGTGTATTCTGTTGTTATTGGGTGAGATATTCTGTAGATATCTGTTAAATCCATTTGTTTAATGGCATGGTTTCACTCTGATGTTGGTTTTTCAGTATGGTTGACCTAATTTTGAGAATTGGGTTTTAAAACCCCCCACCATGAATGTAGGGCCCTCTCTCAGTCCTTTTAAGTCCAGTAGTTTTATGAAGTTCAGTGCATAGATATTTACAATTATTGTATCTTCTTGTTGACTTGTTTTATTTACCAGTATATAGAAGGTCACACTTTTTGGAGAAAAAGACTCTCATTCAGTATTGCAAAAGCAGCTAAGTAGCAGCAAAACTGTCTGAGGGTTTGTAGAACTATGCTGTCAGTTTCATTTGCTTTCTACTCCTGCTTTCCTTTTTCATTTAGAGGTTTAATGGGAGAAGTTCTAGAGAACAAATTTGACAAATTTCAAGGGACAGGAGAAAAGAATCATTATTACAGAATTATACTTTGCCAGAAATGTTAGGTATCTGCTGAAAGCTAATCAGACTCTATTTCTTACCTGTAGTTCCTATCATGAAAATGAAATCTGTTACATGGAGAGTCATAACTTCCAAGCCTTGTAGTAAGTTACCTTATGTTGAATAATGATGTGGAGAAAAAAAATACTCCATCTAACTACACATTTGAATTTATCACTTCTTGCTCAGTGGGGAAAGAAATTTGGCTGCAGCCTTGGCAAATCATTAGGACATGATTGCTGAAATAGAAACAATTCATAATAGGTGATTACAGGGCTGGGGATTTAGCTCAGCGGTTTGGTGGCCTGCCTTGCAAGCGCAAAGACCCGAGTTCAATCCCCAGTACAAAACAAAACAAAACAAAACAAAAAACCAAAAAAACAAAAAACATAATAGGTGATTACAAATAGTGAAATAAATGAACATTTATAAAACTGTTCAACTTCACTAGTAAAGAAATGTATGAATATTAAAATGTTAGGGTATAATTTCTATAACCAGGTATTGTTGTACATGCCTATAATCCCAGGGCCCAGTAGGCTGAGGCAAGAGGATTGCAAGTTTGAGGCCAAGCTTGGCTACATAGTGAATTGAAGGTTAGCTGGTACTATGTAGACCATGTCTCCGAAAAGCAAGGTTGAGCTGGGCATGGTGGGTGCAATGCCTATAATCCTAGCACTCTGGAGGCTGAGACAGGAGGATTGCTGAGAATGGGAGGCCAGTCTGGCCACCCACAGAGTTGAATGTGAAAGATTGCAGACTGATGGATTGAGTCGAAGATCTGGAGCTCACTGTAGTGTTCTGTGTGAGTCTATTAGGAGGCTGATGGGTCTGCAACGGAAGGCTGAGGAGTTTATGCTGGAAGACTGAAGGATCTGCACCAGAAGCTGAAGAGTCTGTTCGGAAAGCCAGGAGATGATATCCAAGGTGAAGGTGAAGACAGTATCTCCTCCGAAGAAACAGAAGCACTTTTGTCCTTTATTTCCCCTTTATACCATCCAGTTAACAAGCCACCTAGAGTGGGGTTTTCACACCCTAGAGTGTGAAATTGCTGAGCTAATTTAGTTGAGTTTCTCTTACTCAAGTTGACACAATCACAAGCAACCATCACAATCCATCCCTTGTCAACTTGACAACCAGATGCATTTCTTCAAACCAGTCTCCAGATACAAAGACAAGCTCATAATTACACCTGTTATAACTGTGCTGTGTACAAAGAGAAACGTACTAATTCCCTCCCTAGAATAGAAGTTAAGTTTTCTTTGGGTGATGCTTACTGTTAACATTACATAGTTTGGACATTATAACATAGGTTTAACAATCCTTAAGACCAAGTACTAAGTCTATCAACATTGTATTACATTTAGAATCATATCAGGAGAGACCTGGTACAATTACAATCCTCATTTCTGTAGCTGATCAAGGGATCATAGCTGGTATTTAGAATTACATTCTTCTACTACCCATTCTGTATTCCCTTAGCCTTTAGAAAGCCCTCAGCAGATCTTGGTTCTTTCCCTGGTGGAGTGACCCACACCTTCATTCCTGAAGGTTCTGGACCATTTGTCGTTCATCCTGAATTAAGTTGTTGTAGTTTCCCACTGACTTTAAAAACAAGGCATGGCAATACTAAGAGGCACCCTAAGGGATCTCCTGCACTCCAAGTGTATTCTTCCTTTCCTCCACTGTGGAGTAATAGTCCAGTTTCCCTTTGATAGTCTGAGTCAGTTACCCTCTGACAACACCACGCCTCCCTTTTCGGCTTGTTTCCTCAGAGGCATGAGGAGGTAAAAATGACTAGGGGGAAGTCTTAACTTCTAGTGCAATGGCATTATTGTGCTTTCTGGTACAAGTCTTTCCTGTATCTGGAACTAAGATTACTAAGCTAGCAGAACATAAAGTCGTAGGAACAGGAAGCAAAAATTTTGGTAGTGGATCACTGGGGGTAATGGTGAGTGGCACAATTCCCCTTCCATCCCTTGATTCCTGGACCCACGAATCCTGGCTGTGGGAGACACAGTACTATATAGTGAATGCTGATTCAAAGCATACACAGTTTTGTGAAGAGTCTTGCCTCAGCTGTGCAAGCTGTTGCCACCTAGGTGGTGCTGTAACTGTCTTCAAAAGACTATTTCCACCTTTCTATTAATCCAGCTACTTCTAGGTGATGAGGAACATGGTAAGACCAGTGAATTCCATGAGCCCAAGGCCATAGCCTTGCTTCTTTGGCGGTAAAATGTGTTCTTTGGTCAGAGGCAATGCATTGTGGAATTCCATGTCAGAGGATAGGGCATTCTGAGTCCACAGGTGGTCGTTTCGGCAGAAGCATTAGGAGTAGGGAAGGCAAATCCATAATAAGTGTCTATGTCACTAAGGACAAAGCACAGTCCCTTCCATGATGGAATTTGTTCAACATAATCAAGATGCCACCAGGTCACAGCTTGATCTCCTCCAGGAATGATGCCATATAAGGGACTCAGCGTTGGTCTCTGCTGCCAGCATGTTGAGCATTCAACAGTGTCTGTGGCCAGATCAGCCTTGTGAGTGTGAGTCTGTGTCGCTGAGCCCATGCATATATAACCTTCATCCCTGCCACCATGGCCACTGTTCATGAGCCCAGCCTGACTCCTTCTTGTGCCTCAATGCCAGTTTGTACCCGTGTTTAAACAAAGTGCTTGCACTTGAACAGAACACCCAAAACCCCACATTCTGCTTGGCAGTAAACTTGCTACAGTTGTAGGATGCTTTGTAGCTCATCTGGTGTGTGTGAAACTTCCTTGAGCCCCCCACTAACCCGGCATGGTTCTGCTCCTCTAAGATTCTGCTTGCTTTCCCCGGAGCCCTCCCCAACTGGAAGCATGGTTGAAAAGGAGAAATCCTTTGGGTTTAAGTCTAATCTGTGATGAAAATCAGATGTACATAGTACAAAAATTCAGAATTTTGGGTTGCATTTTCAGTAGACATTCCTCTACGCGCTCAAGCACCACACCCCCATTCTTTGGCCAAAAATTCAGAGAACCAAAGAGAACTGCAGTGGAAGGAATTTGTAAGGTCTTTTATTCCAAGCTCTTCATTTGATAACCCAGGGCCAGAATGGATGCCACAGTTCGATACGAGGCTTCCTGATATGACAGTGAAACACATGATTATTTGAAGCGAGGAGTGCATTAGTACCCCGCGACAATTTAAAAAATGCGGTGGGTCTATGCGTCCCTTGTGAGATCTCCAAAAGAATGCGCTCAGTCGGAGGGGAGCCCCAGCATGGGGGAGCCCCAGCTCGGGTCCTGGAAGGGAGGAGGAGCTGGCAGAGTGAACTCAGGTGATGACTCACACTGAGATGTGTGAGTGCGCGTTCCCGCCAGCAGAGGGCAGGAGCAGCGATGAAATGAAGGCGAAGTACTGGGGGTCGCGGTGGCGCTGGTGAATCAGAGAGAGAGAGATGCAGATTCTCCACTGCCCACGTCTCCCTTCGCTCCCGTGGACACAGTACACGACTCATATGCGGCTCTTCCTAATCACCTGAGCAGCCCTGTCTCCTAGGTCTGGAATTCTGCCAGTCTTCTCGGTGAACCCCCTCTTCAGCAGGGACAATGGGGGTGGGGTGGCGCTGCTTGCCTGGGGAGTGAGACCGCCCCACCCCGATGGGGTTGGTTTTCCACACTCAGCAGCGTTAGGCACAGCTGATGAATCCTCTCTGTGTGCTGGGATCGGGGCTCTCGTGATAGAAAGAGAGGTGACCAGCACTCATGGGTCCTGGGGAAGGTCTCTGGGCAGCCCTGCCTCTTGGCTCCTCCCTTACCTTGCAGGGCTTTTTGCTCGCAGGCTGCCCGCTGAGCTCCTCTTCTCCCCCTGGTAAATTGCTGTTGGAGACTCGGGGCTCACCTATGGTCCTCTCTTCACAGGCTCTTGGTGGTCTTTTCCAGCCTCATGTTTGAAATGCTCCTGCCCTCCCACAGCTCCCCGAATTTCCCTTCAGCCCCCCTATCCCCCAGCTTGGGACTAGTACATCCAGCTGTCTACTTGGCATCTTCCCTAGGCTGTCAGTGTCGGACACTTCAAACGTAACGCGTCCCAAGTGGAAATCATCAACTTCCTGGCTCCTTCCCTTGAAACCGCGGCCTACTCATCATTGCCCTGAGATGACTGTAATTCTCCAGCCGGCCGGCAGAGAGAAGCAGCGGCCGCGCAATCCTGTGCTGGGCTCCCATCAGATACCAGACCCAGGCCAGGATGGCGAGCTAGGTTTCCTCCGACCCAGGAGCACCGGCCCTCCCTGCAGGACCGGTGAGAGAGTGGAGGGGGGATGTCGAGACGCATAGGAGCGAGTGGCTGATTCCCAAGGTGGCCAGGATGTCATGTGGGAAGAGACGGGGGAGAGGGTGACTACCTGAATGGTCTCTCTCCCTCTTCTTTGCAACTATCAGAAGCTAACCCCGGGGTCTCCACCCTGGTGACTTCATCCCACCCTCATCGCCCCCCAAGGGCCCCACCTGTCAGCGCCACTGCGGAATTACATCTCCATGCTCCTCAGGCCTCACAGTGAGGGTCATCTGCATGGATCCTCTCCGGAGTTTCCCTACCGCTGTGGGAAGCTCCCTAGCTGACTTTCTTGATTACTGGAGGTGCAGTGTTTAGAAGGTGGGGACTCTGTCTTCAGAATTTGTGCTGATTTTTCCTCATCGTGTTGACCGATCTGAATCTTGGCTTTTCATACAAATTTCAAAATTTGTTAATATGCATAAAATAACTTTCTGAAATATCGATTGAGCTTTGCTTACTCTATTGCTCAAATTTGGAAATGATGTTTTAATAATATTGACTGTTCAGGGCTGGGGATTTAGTTCATTGGTTCTGCCGCCCACCTCGCAAACACTAGGATGAGAGTTCGATCCCTGGCACCAAGGCTTTTCATACAAATTTCAAAATTTGTTAATATGCATAAAATAACTTTCTGAAATATCGATTGAGCTTTGCTTACTCTATTGCTCAAATTTGGAAATGATGTTTTAATAATATTGACTGTTCAGGGCTGGGGATTTAGTTCATTGGTTCTGCCGCCCACCTCGCAAACACTAGGATGAGAGTTCGATCCCTGGCACCAAAAAAACTGCTGTGAGTTGAGCTGAGGAGTAGAGCAAGGAGTGGACTGTCTGCCCTCCCAATTAGGCCAAAGTTTGAATAAACTAATTTTTGCATTTTATTTTATTTTTTTTCCAGCTTTAATTGAGTTTATTGGTACATTTTAGGGATACAGTACAGTTACATTCATTGTTGGGATCTTGTACCTCTACATGACAACTCTTGGTTCTCATTTTTAATTTTTGCATTTTAGTGGGCTATTTTTGTAGTCTTAAGGGCATGCTGGCAAAATAATTCTGTTATCTTATTTGAGGCCTCAAATGAAGCCTCTGAGAGTGCAGGCCCCTGCCTCTCTCTGCTCCCGACCTCCTGTAACCTTTGATCACTGCAGCAAACAGCTGAGTAACACACAGTCTTTACATGTTTAATTAGATGCATGCCTACACATTTCACTTTTCTTTGAGGGCAATGTAAATGGCATCGTGTTTTTATTTTCAATTTCCCATTGTCCAGTGTTGCTATGTGAAAAAGCAATTGATCTGGCCCTGGTGGTGAACACTTTTAATCCCAACACTCTGGAGGCTGAGGCAGGAGGATGGCTACAAGTTCAAGGCTAGTCAGGGCTACACAGTGAGTTTAAGGGCATCCTGGGCCACAGACCCTGTCTCAAAAAAAAAAAAAAAAAAAAAAAGCCATTGAATTTTGAGCAGAGCCATGGTAGCACACTTCTGTAGTCCCAGAATCCAGGAAGCTGAGGCAGGAGGATACTAAGCTCTAGGCCAGCTCAGGCTACTCAGCAACATAAAGAGACTCTGGCTCAAAACCAAACCAAACCAAAAGCATTGACTTTTGTGTATTAGCCTCGTGTCCTGTGAGTAACCTCAGTGCAGGTAAACCACCAGTAGAAAAATTTTTCTGATGATATTTGGAACAATTTAAAGTATTGGAAAAGCCAGGTGTGGTGGTGCATTCTTATAATTTCAGCACTCAAGAGGCTGAGGCAGGAGGATCACTATGAGGTCAAGGCCAGCCTTGAGTACATAGTGAGTTTTCAAATTCAGCCTGGACTACATAGTGAGACTCTGACTCAGAATAAATAAATAAATAAATAGGAAGACAGATCTGGAGCAGATTGGATGGTGAGGAAGAGGGGCTGGAGGCAGGGAGTGCATGTGGGAAGCTTTGTGTGGGCAGCCCGTGAAAAGTAAGATTCATAATAAGAATGTTGCAGCAGCGGAAAGGAAACAAGAGATTCACAGGCAAATGCCCTGGATTTTCCTTCCTATGCGTCTCTTGACACACATTGTCCTCTTTGTAGGCTCCATCACCCTCTTCACCTAGGTCTAATTGTTCCTCAGAGTTCGGCTCAGGTGCTGCGTCCCAATAATCCTTGCTCTCCAGTCTCCCCGTAGCCCCTGCGGTGTCCTCCATCACCCTGTGAATGCCGTCTGTCTTTATCTTCTTACATATAACACACTTGTCTACTCACCCAGGTCTGTCTTTCATTGGAACAGGAAGTCCTGGATGTGAGTAGCTCAGGATCAGATCCAGTAAACACACACATAAATGAACAATTCGCTCACATCTATTGTTGGAAGTCGCAGCGTGGCCAAGTAGGTGGCAGCTGCTGTACCACATTCACTTTTTCCCTTAAAAACTGAAGTCATAGAGTTTTAAAAGACTGAAGCTTTTAATCAAGAAGAAAGCACTAAATCCTTATGAAGAAGTGGTCAGTTCCTTCAAAGCTATTACACAACGGGAGAGTTCTTCCTCTAAAAATATTTATAAACATGAAGAGGGAATTACAAGTCTAGAGATTCAGCCTCAGCCCAGAAGGAGTTCACACCTGCTGAGAGGCAGGTTTCTCTTTCCTTAGTTTATAACTTATCTTCCTGGACCTGGCACAAGCAGCCCTGGAGGGCTGGGGCAAAGAAAAGCAGAAGGAATCCTCTGAGCCTGGACTCAGCACCGCTCTGCGCTCCCTGGGAACCCCGCACAGACACCGGTAAGAGGGGAGAACTTCGGGCTGGGATGGGCAGGGCAGAGAAGATGGCTGGGAGGAGGTGGTCGGGGATGAAGGTCAACATCTCAGGAGGGAAGAGGTGAAACACCCAGGCGTCTGACAGGAGGGTTGCTGCATGCATGAGAACAGGTCAAAGGGGACTGGGCTATGGCAAGGAAAGGAAAGGTCTGCTCACCTCACGTTCCTTCACTGGGACTGTGGGACTATGTGAGGGAGGCTTTAAGAATAGGTATGAAATCTTAGAAGGCAAAACAAGAATATAAATACTTACGATTAATAACTTTACTTTTGTTATTTCTATGCTTACCATGACCTTGCCTTTTTCTACACAGAAAAGATGGCTGGAAATGTGAGATTTCCTCTCCTATTGCTGCTGGGGCTGTTTGCAATGCTGAGTCCTCTTTGGGCTGTGCCTCCGGGCTTCACCCCATTTAGATGGTTTGCAGTTCAGCATGTGCACCCAAATCCTCTCACTTCATGCAATGGGGCCATGAGAGGTATCAACCAAAACCTCCCGCATGGGGGCTGTAAGCCTACAAACACCTTTCTGCATGACTCTAGCCAAAATGTGATTCATGTCTGTACTTTGGCCAACATCCCATGCAAGAATCGTCGGTATAACAACTGCCACCAGAGTGCAAGTCCTGTGAACATGACTGTCTGCCGGCTCATTAGAGGGAGCACCCCTCCTAACTGCCGTTACACGAATCGTAATAGTTTTGCAGGCTTCACTGTAGCCTGTAATTCACCTCAGGCAGGTGACCCTCTAGATCCCCTGGTTCCTGTACACTTAGATTAGATTTGCTAAAGTTTTGATCACTTTTCTCCTTTTTGACACTGTTTCTATTGTAGTCTCTTCTGTCTTTTGAATTTTCTTGTTCCCATAAAAGAAAGAGGGGAGGAATTGGGAGAATTAGAGTTCCTAAGAACTGGGATTAAATATGTATAAAAATCATTCTTTTCTGCTTTGGGATCTGTCTGTGCTGAGGCAAAGCAAATATATAAGGGAGGAAAAGAGTTCTAGGACTTTGGCCAAGCTTTATTTCAGTGCCTTCACAGCAATAAAATGACTTCTTACTGCATTCTAGTGAGTGTGGCTCCTTTTATCACCTTTCAAATCATCTCCTGCCCATATTCCAAGAGTGTTTTTATTCCTAGGTTCCTGTTGATGTGATATGAGACCTCCAAATGTTATAGAGGAAATAACATAACTCCTAGCTTGCTAGATGTCAGACACCCTGAGTTTGTGTTCCCCAAAATCGAAGAGTGGATTCTGTGGAACAGTGGAGGTTAAGAGTTGCTCATTAAGGTTAAGAGTTGTCCATCGTCTCTCCTGAGCGTGATAATGGGCAAACTGAATGGGTTGGCCTGGATTCCACTTCAGAAAGGAAGTTTTATAGAGCAAAATCACCATTTGTAACCACATGGGTTAAGGCTGTGTTCAACCAACAACAGTATAGATACAGCCACGTAGGTGATACTGATCTGATGGGGAAGCAGGTCAAGTAGAAAGTGTTCATGGAAAGAACAGAGAACATTTTTAAGAGGAAGGGTCTGGGGGGGGGGTCTTGGTCACCCACTGAGGTGACCGAGCTAGACTTTACTGGGCCAGGTGTTACCACTTATCCCTTGGGTGGCCTGTAGGTCTGATCCTTTCATCTGTATCTTGAGGCTTGGCCTCCAGCGGATGCACCTCCCTGCACAGCTGTAATGTGTTCTCATCTTTTATATCGACTTGCCAGAGGGTTTAGCCCTGAATTACTGCTATAATATTTCTCCTTATCTTAATACTATGATTTGGTGTAGAAGATCGGACAGATCCCAGACTCTTGCGTATATCGAGCAAAGAATCCCCAGTGTACATTCCTTGGTAACAGAAAAAGCAATTCCGTTTATTGGAGATTACAGGAAGATGTGCTCAGGCGGCCAGACCAGAAAAGTGGTGTTGGAGGTGGCAGAAAAAACGAAAAGCTCAGAGAGAAATCAGGCTTTTGGATTTTAAAGGATGTGCACCCCAGCCCAGGTGTCTCTCACTGGGTCTCTGGATAAGATTGACAGGAAAGATTGACAGGGTGCTGAGTCATCTCAGAGGCAGCATAACTTGTAAGTGTGTCCCAGAGTTCACTCTGAATTATATGTGTGAGATGCAGTCCATATTAAAGTCCGAACAATTTTAATGAGGTTCGAGGTGGAGCGTAAGTTTACTGACGGTCAGGCCACTGCTTAGTGAGCCTGTGCTCTAGTCTGGAGCTGTAGTGTCTGGACCTTGATTATTATTATTGTTATTCTTTTTTGGTATTGGGATCCAACTCGGGCCCTTGCACTTGCAAGGCAGGAAGCAGAACCACTGAGCCAAACCTCCTGCCCTGGGCCTTGATTATTTTTATTTCTGCTTCTCTTTTTTCCCCCAGCATTACCTCTGCACAGTCAAGCACATAGGTATTAGACTGTACCATGGTAACGGTAACACAAATACTGCATGATTCCATAAATTCTAAATGACACAGTACTAAATCCTCCCAGTAACTAAAATACGGTACAAACATTAACATGGTACAAATACTGCGGTATGATAGAAATGCTTTGATACACGATACAAATATTAAATGACACAGTGATTATATGCTATTCACATTGATGTGCATGACACACTTCCAAGTAAGTGACACAGTGATGCAAACCCTGAAAGACCCTCGGATACTGAATGAAGTAATGATTCAGCACTCAACATCTGTTTACGTGCAAAACATCTCCTTGACTTTAAGCTTGAAAGGAAGAACTGCCCAGCATGCGACACCTGCGGAAAGCCCACTGCGATGCTCACGTGGGCAAGAAGAGACGGGCAGGACCAGCAAGAAGATATTAGCCCGTGTTAGAGGAGGCAGTAAGGCGAATTCTCATACCAACTAAGCTAAGAAAGGGATTTTATAGAAAAACCACATCTTCTTTATCTAGGCTCCAATCAACAGGCAATTGGGCTTTTTCCAGGTTTTAGCTATTACACACTGTGCTGCTATAAACACGGATGTGCACATATCACTGTGGTATCATTCTTATAATTATTTTGGAAAGATACCCAGCAATGTTACCACTTATCCCTTGGTAACTAGGCCTGGCCACTTCAACTTTATATTAAGCCCTGGCCTCCAACAGATGCATCTCCATCCACAGTTTTAATGTGTTTTCATCTTTTGTATGGACTCTCTCTCGAGGGACTATCCCTGTCTGACTGCCTACACTATTTCTACCTAACTTAGCTGTGTATAATAATAGCACATGCTTGTAATCCCAGCACTCCTGAGATTGAGGCAAGAGGATTGCAAATTCAAAGCAATCCTGAGCTACATAGAGAGACCCTGTCTCAAACAAAGCAAAACAAAACGCCAAGCACAGTGGCACAGGTCTGTAATCCTGACACTCTGGGAAGCTGAGACAAGAGGACTACATGTTTAAGGCCACTCTGGCCTACTTAGCAACTTAGCATGGCACTGTCTCAAAAAGTATAAAAAACATAAAATACAGGCTGGGGATGCAGGTTTGTGTGAGGGCCCTGATTTTAATTCCCATTACCAAAAAAAAAAAAAAAAAAAAAAAAAAAAAGCTAATGATCACTAGATCAGTTTATTGCTTTCCATGTACCACCTCCATCAGTGTTTGAGTTTTTTCTCTAATTGTGACAGGAAAGCCTGCTTCCAAGCTCTACTCTTGGCATGGACTTGTCTCAACTTAAAAAAAAAATGAATAAAGATCTGGAAACTGTTGGACATAGTTGTGAGTGCCAGTAATCACAGTACTGGGAGGCTGGGGCAGGAGGATTCTGAATTTGAGCACAATGTAAGCCAGATGCTGTCTCAAAATTAAAAAAAAATAAAAATAAAAAGAACGAGAGATATAGGTCAGCCTTTCCTGGATTAAATTCCCAGCATTGCAGCCCCCTCTACACACGCATCCAGACACAAAGAATTTTAAAAACTACCCCTCAACCTCTGCATCACCTGCAAATAACAATAGCAATGGACACTGGCTTCGAGGGAAATACATGAAATCACGAGCGGAGCTTGAAGGGATGGAGGACCTTCCTTGCTTGCACTGACAGAGACACAGGGGCAAGGGAGGCGGCTGAGTTCTCAGGAAGACCTCAAAGGTGGCTCAGGTAGTACAGGCATCACAACTGGGATGGGAGACCACCCCCTTCCACCCACCTGAATTTAGGCAACACCCGGGCCAGGCCTCCTTACACTGTTCTAAGAGAAGCAGAAATAAACAGCCCCTTGGATATGTACTCACTACTGAAATTCCTCTGCTGTTCTCCATTTAACAAGTTCAACCTGTGGAAGAGTCAGGTGGACAAGGCTTCAAACAAAGGAAGAGAGCAGTTACGTATTTTAATCAAGAGTCTTTTGCTGGGGAGAACGAAAGACCAACTGGATTCCTCTGGCAAACCCTTGGTGATGCTGCCCCAGTGTAAACGTCAAATACATCCTTTAAAGCTTTCTGAAGGTGAAGACTGCGTTCAATGTCCTTTTTGCAAGAGCAGGGTCTGCTCTGCAGACTTATGTAAAAAGACAAGAAAATGGAGGACTCCAATCTGGAAGAAGCTCAGTAATCCATTTATTACAGCATCATGGGAGTTTGGGCCCAGTGAGGCTGGGCATCTGGTGGCAGCAGACTTACGGAAATCCAGTGTCCTGTCTCAGCTGCTAAGACTCCACCAGTGTTGCTGTCATCGTCCTTTACTGAAGTCAGCCCTGGGTCTGGCAGAATAGAAGAGCAAAGGCTTTGTCCAGACCCTGGAGGAGCAGCTGAGTGCTATGCCCTTGTCTGAACTCCATGAGGCAGAGCCATCGGCCCCCATTTCCCTTAAGGGCAAGCACTCCAAGGTGGAGCTTTCTGAAGACACACGAGGTGGCGCTGAGATACCATCTCTGTTGGCACAACTGGGCAACCCAAAGAATTCAGGGTCTCAAAAGAGTGTCACTGGAGCAGCATGCTGAAAGTGGTAGCACCGCACCTTAAGAAGTGTGCCCTGACTTATGCCACCATTGGTGGCTCCATCAACCCCAAGCAGGGAACGGACTTGGTAGAGGCATTTAACCACTCCAGGGGCCCTCAGGCTGTGCTAATCTCTGTCTTGGCTGGAGGTGTTTGTCTAAATCTGACCAGAGGAAACCATCTTTTCCTGCTAGACATGTGCTGGAACCCATCCCTTAAAGATCAAGCTTGGGACTGAATTTACTGAGCAGGGCAACAGGAAGATATTGTCATTCACAGATTGATTTGTGAGGGGACTGTGGAAAAGATCTTCCAGCTTCAAGGAAAAAAAAAAAAAAAAAAAAAAAAAAAAAGATTTAGCCAAACAAGTTCTATCACATCTGGAGAATCTATCACCAACCTGACCTTGCCTAACCTCAGAGAGCCCTTTTTGGCATCTAACCTGTGTACAGGGTGCAGTCAGTGCCACTGCTGGTTTGAATTAACATCTGGGCAAAACACCGTAGCCTTGCTCCTTGAGCTGAGTGCTTGCATTCCATTTCGCCTACCTACCAGCTTTACACCCTCCTCAAAATGGGACACAAGCTTGTCTTTCAAATTGAGGATGGGTTATTATGTTAAACTTCTGGTTACTCAATTTTGTTAATCAATCAGCTTGTTTAATGTGCAGAATAGAAAACAGTCAATTACTTCAGTTAGATACAGACAACACTCACAAAAATTTTAAAATTTTATTGGTACATTTTAGGTATTCAATATAATGACACTCATCGTTGGACATTTGCACCTTTACATAATCTATCTTGGTTCTTATTTTGTCCCCATTCCCCAGCCCTACCTTCAACCCCTCCAGCCCTCCCTATTTACAAAGATTTTGTTTCCACTGGTCTGTGGTGCTTGGAGGCCTGGGGAACTGGGGTTGGGGTAGCATCCTAGCTCCATGTGGCTCGGCACTCACAGTCTAATTGTTTAGAGAAATAAACCATAGGTTAACTCACAGGCTTTGAGTAAGGGCCCCCAAGGCTATGCCCTGACTTTCAGCTATATATGGGGTTAATGTCTTGTCTAAATCAGGAGTTC